GGGTTGTGTTTGTTGGGCTTGATCCCACCCATATGTATCCCTAACCTTGCTTAACTAAAAATTATTTGTTCTAAAAAAATATTGCAATGAAACTCTATATACTCGGGAGGAAGCAGCTGATAACTGTTAAATTTTGTTGCAGTATCATGTTTTCAACACTACTACTTGCAGATATCATTTTTACCGTATAAGAGTTTTTTTTTTCTTTCAATGAACAGATGTACAATACATTAAGAGTTATGATACATAACATTTGCACGATGTATATACATATATAGTTGATACTCATTTTTTCTCTGTTTCTTTTTTCTTATCATACCATTTCAGTTATCATATCTACACTAAAATTGGGCCTCGGAACACTAAGTGCGTGTTTATAAACTCGTTACTAAGAAAAAAAAGTACATCGATTTTGCTTAAAATACGGAAGTTATAACTAGTGGCTTACTTGATTCTCAATTAACCTGACAAATACTTCTCAAACATAAAATGAAACATGCTGTAAATTATCATATATGTGGGTAAGATAATGTATTACATGCTGATGCTACACCATTCCATAGCCAAAAACAGTTTGGAATCTCATATTGATTCTCCTAATATCGATCTTGGAACATGGACTATGAACATGGAGACGAGAGCTGCATTACGCAAGTCGATAGATTTTCTTTTTTTCTCCACCGTTAAAAAACCTCCGAAAGTCTTGAAATTAAACATATGAAAAGTTTGATTTAGCCATTGTATTATTGAATCTTAATTATCAATATAGAACAATGAAAAAGGTCATGTTGCTGATGGAGTGAAAATGACATTTACTATGATTGACGTGATTATGATTCTACGTGAATAGGCATTTTGTAACAAGATATTCAGAGCAGATATGTAGGAAAAAGTGCGTGTAAATAACATTAACATTAATATATGTAAATTATAGGCAACTGTTAAAATAGTAAAACAAGAAACTTTAGCAACACTAGATGAAATATTATTGATTCAATGCAGTAAGAACTAAGTACGTTAGAGGGAATGAAACGACCAATTCCCCATCAATCAACCTTAGTGGCATTGAAGTTAAATTTCAAGGTGAGAGAATGTGTAGAGACAGATGACAGCTAACAGAAACAGAATCCCTATCCCTATCTATACACATTCGTGAATCTGTAATAGCTAGGTATCTTGATAACCAATGAATAAATAATTTTTAATGAAGAGGTAACCACGGATTGATATCTACATAATGGACCAAGCCATCAAAACTAAAGTCAAACTCAACTATATTTTATAAATGGAGTAAAAAAAAAACATGACATAACACCAGGTTCGGCCAGTTTTTTGAAATGTGTATAGAAAGTTGTAATAGTTGTATAGCATAAACAGCTCTACTAGTGATCCTGTGAGAAAATGACAAACGTGATCATTGCATCAAAAGTGAAATATTCCCATATTCCTTCAGTTCATCTCAATTCAGAGCCAATTTTAACCAATTATGGTATTGTTTTAATTTACTACACAATTGTGAAGTAACACAACAACCACTATTTATTTTCCAAGAAACGGAAGTGTAGGAATATTTGAAAGGCATTGAGTGACATGCGGATGTGACTGGAAGACTTTGAGCATTCTTTATTAATGGAAGACTTTGAGACGACTTGGGCAATCACTTGAACGTATGAAGAAATTCTAGCAAGTGCTAATTTGACTTTGTACACACTGACATGCATAGAAGCAACTTACAACTATGGCTCCTAACCTACTAATCACATTAAAATATACCATATATACGATATACCAAAAAGGAAAGGAAAGAG